AATACGAGTCCTTATCTTTACTCTTCTTCAAGATATAGGTGCAAGCGAGCTCCAACGCCGTTGGCTCCCTAAGTTCATGCTTGTAGAATGATATATACATAGCGATAGCTATCATATATGCATTCAACGTCAGCTGGAATGGTGCGACCTTAAAGTGGTCGACTTGATGTAGGGGTGGAAGGGTATTCTCACTCCGCATTTGAAAATGGCTTTCGAGATTACGACCATTCCCTCGGGAGGCTCCTGGGTAGTGTACATCCTCTTTCGGTACATGTCCACATCAATTGCATATTGCTCTAATACCTTTTTTATTTCGTCCATTGAGATAGTTGACCTTATCACCTTCCTGGTACATGCAGAGGTACCCGGTGGGAGTGAGCTTTCTCTGTCAACTATTCTCATCTAGGTCTCCATTGGTTCTAAAGTCTTAAAGGTACAGCATTTAGGGGGGACTCAAACCTTGAAAAATCTACCTCATACGATGACTCAGAGGATGTGTAAAAGAACCCTATGTTTTCTGCCTAGCCGTCAAGCTTCTAAACCCTAAAACTCTTAAAAACAATCCTTTAGAACTTTTTACCCTAAGTTTCAAACCTTCAAGTGTTTCTTTTTCGAACACTACCCAGGAATGCTCTTTCCTAATGCCTACCAAACACCCATGACCACCATGACTGTAAAAAAGAAATTTTTTGCAGGAATGTGAAAAAAGAGAAAAAGAAAGAAGTTTTTTTACCTTTTGTCTGCCTGAAATGGGTACTCTGTTGTAAAGTTGGGTTTGCATGAATTGGTGAAGGAAGAACAAATTTTTTGGAGTAAGAAACCGTTATTTTCTCTCTGAAAAATTTGAGTTTTCTGAAAAGTTAGGGTTTTATAGTGAGGAAGATGATGCTACAGCTTCTTTTATAAGCGACGTTTGGGCAGGAGTGCGCTCTTAGTTGTAGATTGCAACCACGTGTCATCAATCTATGGGAAGATAACCCCCATGCTTCATAAAAATCAACTGGCACCTCTCTTTATTGAGAATGCCAATCGACAGTGTGATTATCTCTTCCGCATTAAATAAGCCTTCATCCGCATTTAATGTACCAAAAGGGAATGTCCTTTCAACATGACTTGCATTTAATGCTCACGGCTAACACTTATTACGCACGGAGACAAGTCTTTCAGATAAAGATTACTTTATTGACCAAGCTAACTGTCAAACACAACGAATAACATCTGAAGAAGTTGTTCAAAGGAGACATTTATTCAACATGTCGAACACGAACACCAAACAAGATGATTCAGAATTTTTAATCATGAAATATTCTAAGTGTTTTCAGGTTGTGAATAACAGTTAGAGTTCAAAACACATCCTGATGACCCAAGACAAGATCAAGCTCAGGTCAGTAAATCTCAGTAAACAATCACGTCAGGTCGCTTGTGTTACTCTTAAGGCATAGCTCACAACCTGCACTCAGTTTGCAAGTCAGATCAAGCAGTCAACTTCAGGTCGTCTGCAATAATGTGATTACACTCAGCACTTAACTCGAGTAAGAATTTATAAAGACAAGTCAGGTTATGGCATAATCATGAAGTTCTCGAAATTCAATTCCTTGAATCTCAAGAACTGGGAAGCTTTTGTTATGCCTAAAAAATTAGGACTGACGTAAGCTTACATCAACGAGTACCAATCAGAGTTCAAGAAGGCTTTGTGCAGCCCAGAAGCTACCACATCGCCCCAAGATAAAGAGAATACGACTGTCACCAACTCAGTAGGCTCAAGTTTTGTCTGTGAATGAATGTGATCCACACACTTGTCCAAGCCCCATATAATTTAAGGATTTTTTTTTTAAGTTATTAACTAATGGGAGGCAAGGAAAGATTTGCATGGTACCTACTGACTTGCAGACTTGTAATCATTATGTTGAACTCAACGACTATAAATAGAGTACTCCCCCTTACAAAATCGGGATCTCGGATTTCAATAGTTTTATAGCAAAGACAACCTACGGGAAAAAAACTGACTTAATATTCTCTCTAAATACCAACCTCTTGTAATTCTATTCGCTATTCGCAACCTCTTGTAACTTGGCTAATAATAAAAAACACTCATATAATAAATAACAGTGGATGTAGGAATCGTTTTAAACATCCGAACAACTATATAAATTCTCATTGTCTCCTTTATTATTAAGTTTTTGCATACACCAATAACCTTGCCTAAATCTCATATTAATCACGTGTGATTTCTAAGATCCTCTTAGCACTTTGCACGTGCGAAGTCGTTGGTGTCAAAATAAGCATCAACGTCTTATCTTTGTTCTTCTCTTTTATCTTCACTTCCTCCTATTTTCTTCGTCTCTTTCTTCTGTTCGAATTCCTCATTCTTTTTCTCTTCCTTCTCTCCTCCTCTTCTCTTCTATTTCTTCTAATCTCTCTCTTTATTTATTGCTGATCTGGACTTTGCGGCTGGCCAAGTTGGCCACCGTAAGGCGCTTACATGGCGGCTAGGCAACAAATCCAGGCAAAGAGATACGTCAATTAAGTTCAATTGTAAATCTATAGGGGCAAAATAGGCATGCTCTTTTGACGAAATAGTATAACGGCTTGGAAAAGATTGGGGCTTCCTACATAGTAATAAAACTAGTGGGTGTTCACAGGAATTGGCTTAAACTTATGAAAAAATTTTAAATGACTTTTTTTTTTATATATATATTAAAAAGGATAATATCAATTAACGTAAACTTTTCAAAAAAAAAAAAAATTAATTGAAAAATGAAAGTTGCAAATTCTTCAATTAAGAAACAATAACAAGTTATTTAATGTCATATTTAACTTTAGAAAATGACAAAACAATAACAGTATACATTTAAATTATTTCTTTTTAGAAAATAAATTAAAATTACTAAAAAAAGTTAAAAAGTTTGAAAGAGCTTTCTTTTTTAAATTTTTTCATCAATTCTTAATTTTAATTTTTTTTTTTTTTGATTTTCTTAAAAAGAAATGTTCTTTTTAAAAATTTTCAATTAAAAACTAAATTTAATTAGAAAAAAGAAAAAAAATGTTAATAACATTTAAATCTTTTTATCATTTTTCGTTAAAATTAACAATAAATTACAGTTAGATATTCTTTAATCGAAGAATTTGTAACTTTCTCCTCTGAAAGTTTTGAAATGTTTGTATCATCATTTGATAATATCCTATTAAAAAGGAAAAAGAAAGAAAATAGGACCAGACTTTCTCCGTGAGGACCGTGACATAGTTGAAGAAACACAAAGGAAAGTCCGAAGAATCAAATCAAAGCAAGAGAATGAGCTCTCCCGATGGTCGCGTTTTCCAGATCGAGAACGCCGCCAAAGCCGTCGATAACAGCGGGTACTATACTCAAATCACTTAGTAACCTTCGATTTTCCTTCACTTCTTGTTTTAATCTCTAGATTGATTTCAAATTTCCATTTCTTTTGCAGGACTGTCACAGGAATTAAATGCAAAGATGAGATTGTTATGGTAAATTTCATTTTATTATTATTATTATTATTATTATTATTATTATTATTATTATTATTATTGTACTATTTAAAAACTGTCATTTGATGGTGATTTTGGTTTGATTTAAGGGAGTGGAGAAGCTAATTGCGTCGAAGAGTTCTAATAGAAGAATCCATTCTGTTCATCGGCATTTTGGCATGGTACTCTCTAGATCTTGTCTAAATTTGATCTTTTGTTCACTCATATTTTTACAAGTAATTTCCATGTTTTCTCTTACTTTTTTATGCTTCATATGTGTATTTTAAGCTTGTGAAATAGACAGAGAGTGATTTAACAGGAGGTTTGAATGGTTGCCAATTAAGTTTTTAGAGGTTTACAGTTAATTTGAAGTAAGATCCCTCTATTCGAAGGTTAAAGTAAAGTGAAAATACCAAAAAGTAATTAAAATACATAAAAGGAAATTTCTGTTTCTTCATTGACATTGTTACGTGGGTTCTAAGGAAGAAAGATTTCATTGGGAGCACCTGCTGAGAAGTAAAGCTTTATCTTTAATTGTTCTCGTACTCTTAAGTTGATTTAATCTTTTTATTTTTCGCTGATTCAATCAATGTAGAACAATAACCTCACTCTTACTCAAAATCATTTATTAATTAATACATTGTTGTTGGTGATATGAACTATGTTGACTTGATTTGATTAATTATATAGTTAAGATTTTCAAATTTTGTAATTTTTTGAGCAGATGGTTAATCGATACTGGATTACCTTCTATGTTATGCTTTCATGTCTTGTTAAAGTTTTGAATGCCAGTGCTGGTGATGCTGATCCTCTATACAGGTATAACTTTAATTGTCTTAATACCTGGTTTTCTATAGCGTTTCTTTATCAAAATTTATTATTTCATAGAAAATGTACTTTGCTTTATGTGCTTTTAACTTTAACAAGCATATTCATAATCTTTGTTTGCTAGTTAGATGATTTGATCTGGAGATAAAACTTTGACCTACCATATAACTTGAAATTAGATAAGAATTTAAAAAATGATCTGGCAGTCAGCTCATATAACTGGAGTACAAGAATCAAGTAAAGAGAAATAAGTTGAGAAGTGAAAGGAATTATGTATCAATGTGTTTGATCTTTGATGCCTCTGTAATTTCATAATTTGGTTATCAATAATGGTGTGTTTTAACAGTGATGTGTCGGTGTAACTATTTATAGGAGCAGTTCATTGAGTTTTTGCTGAATTTATTTTCTTGTTGACAAAGATTTTGAGTGTATAACATGAATGTGTAAATTTTACTGTTCATCATCTTTCAAGGCCAGTATGTTACAGTAATGGCTTTATAACTGACTTTATCATCTGTCTTTTAAATTAATTTACTTGCTTTACAGTATCTTCTGATCTTAGAATTTATTTGCTTTACATGTTACCTACAATAAGTTTTTGTCTTCTTCTTCTTCTTCTTCTTCTTCTTCTTCTTCTTCTTCTTTTAAAAGCTAAAGATTTTGTGGCATATCTCGGATTTTAGGGCCTGTGTTGGACAATGTGAAAAAACTGGCTGTGTTGGGGAAAGATGCTTTCAACATTGCAAATTTTCTTCAGATGGTATCTCAATCGATGGTCCATGGTACATGCAAGAACCTCTTTATTTACGATGGAAGATATGGGATTGTCAAAGTGACTGTCGCTACAATTGTATGGTTGACAGAGAGAAAGAAAGAGATGCACTTGGTAATGGACCTGTTAAGTACCATGGTAAATGGCCATTCAAACGGATTTATGGTATTCAGGTTTGTTATTTTATCAACTTTATACTTCAATTTTATCCTTCTTTTGGAGTTGTTTATTTTTTATTGCACTTTTCTTGGGTATATATTTCAGCTTCTCGTTTGTTTAATCAGGAGCCAGCATCTGTGGCTTTCTCTGCTCTCAACCTTGCAATGCATTTCCATGGTTGGCTTTCCTTTTTCATTCTTCTATACTATAGATTACCTCTAAAACAGAACAAGAAGGCATACTATGAATTTTCCACTTTGTGGCACATCTATGCGCTCTTATCATTGAACTCTTGGTTCTGGAGTGCAATTTTTCATAGTCGGTAAGCTTTTTATTGTTTTCTCCTTTTTTGTAATTGATTTGCATTTTTGACATTTTCAGTATTAATTGAGTGTCCCATTTATCTTTGCATAATGCAATTTTCTTGGTTTTTGTTTATTGTTTTTATATATTTCTTGGAGTATGTTCTTCATTTTTAGGTCATTTCATGATTCTTGTTGTGACGTCTAATTGAAATGCAGTGATGTGGACTTGACAGAGAAGTTAGACTACTCATCTGCAGTGGCATTACTTGGTTACTCACTCATTTTGGCTATACTAAGATGTTTTAATGTGAGAGATGAGGCTGCTAGAGTCATGGTTGCTGCTCCGCTACTTGCTTTTGTTACTACCCATATATTGTACCTCAACTTCTATAAACTAGACTATGGTATCATCTCTCTCCAATATATTCAGTTTCTGGATTATGTTTACAAATGAATTATCCAATAAAACAATATTCTTTGGTAATTACATATTCTATAATAAGAATATAATAAACTATCAGTAGGAAGGGACCGGTGGCACCCCTAACTCTTCGACCTCAATGATTGTACCTCAACTTCTGTAGACTAGACTATGGGTATCATATCTGTTCTTCCAGGCCTTCGTTTTCTGGAGGTTGCTCAACCCACAGTGTTGATATATCTTCATAGTAATTACTTTACCCATAAGATACCATTGTTACTTGGCTTGATAGAGCTTAAATTTTCCAACTATTACATGAATGGTTGTTGAGATGTGACCACAATCATTGGATTGCCTCTCAACTTAATAGTTATGTCATCTGGAATGCAATAATTGTTTTATCATTTTTCTATCAACCAGGTTACTCATTGGGGTTGAGTGGGTGGCTTGAGATTTATGCTACCATCTCCTTTATTTATATTATGTTTTAAATGTACAATATTACTAATTGTTTTGCAATTGCCAAGATCATAAAGAGAAATGGACCAGTATTAAGCTATAAATTAATATCATTTTTTACTTTGAGATTTAGTTTTATGATGCTAGTAACGCTAATCTGACAAGATGTTGGACATTTTGCAGGATGGAACATGAAAGTTTGTGTTGTCATGGCAGTGGCTCAGCTTCTCATCTGGGCAATTTGGGCCGGTGTCAGTCAGCATCCTTCTCGGTGGAAGTTGTGGACAGTAGTCTTTGGAGGCGGCTTGGCAATGCTCTTAGAAATCTATGACTTCCCTCCATATTATGGTTTTTTGGACGCACACGCTCTCTGGCATGCGACTACTATCCCTCTTACCTATGTTTGGTGGAGTTTTATCAAAGATGACGCAGAGTTCCAAACCTCTAATTTACTTAAGAAGGTAAAATAGCTTTCTCCAAGAAGTAAACCATTATGATGTCTTTGTGCTCTGATCAAGATAGATGCTAGAGGAATCTCATTGTATTTTCTTTTCAAAATGCAGTTTGAAATTCCATTTGGGTTTGTGGAAATCAGTTTTTGACATGAAAATATAATTTTTTGATAGCTTGATCCATTGTGTTGAAGTGTTTATTTACTTGCTGTTTACGGATATGCATATTGCAAGCGTGTTGACCAACTCCCAAATTAACAATTGAAATTGTTTCTTTCTTGGGGCTTGTAAGTTAGGTGGTTTTTTTTTTTTTTTTCTTTTTTTTTTTTTTAAATGTAATTTTCGAGTCTTGGGTATGAGCTCATATTATGCATTAGCTTAGAAACAAATAAAGTCCATTGCTAAATATTTTAGCTGCTGCCACACACTTATCTCGGGGTATTTACTAATATGTATCAATTCAATTGATTGGAGCAAAAATTGAAATTTGAATGTCATGATGTTAGGTAAGTATAAAGATTATCATTGATTTATTAAATAATTAACAATTTAAAAGTGTGTTAATATTGTGTTCTGAAACAAATATTGAAAACGAAAACAAAGAAACATTACTTTTTTATTTCAATTTTCCTCATAAATTCTCTTTTATTTGTTTTATTTGCTTTTGTATCCTGAATTAAATTTGCAGAGTGAGCATTTTTTCACGTTATCTATAAGAAAATTTTAGGTTTGAAAACGGAAGCAAACAAGCCCCATTAACCCTTTTACTTGTTTATTAGAACTTGTGGTTCTACTATTTATTTATTTATTCCTCATATTGTTAGGGTCCATTTGATTTGTACTAGTTATTGTGATCATATCCAAAAATTGTTTTTGAGAACATTACAACTTATTTCTACCAAATCCATTTTCCTAATGTTATTTGTATCACTTGTTTTCAAAAATCAAAACTTATATTTAGATTCTATATCAAACAAGCTCTTAAGAAAATTATTTTTAATTGTATTCAAATTTTACACTAGGTTGCAAGTAGAGGTGTTAGTCGAGCCGAGCTGCTCGACTTGGTAAAAGCTCAAGTTGGGCTATAGTGTTGCGTTGAGTTCAAACACACTCTAGCTGAAATCGGTTTGATTTCAGTCGATCTCACCGACGCCAACGTTAGCATTCTAGGCTAGATCTCATTGACATCGACAACTCTACTCATCACCCCCAAAATACTCTCCCTTTCCTTCGGACCAAAACCCACCTCACCTCCACCCCTATTAGCCTCGATAATCACGGGCAAAATCCAGTTGTTGTTTCCGTCAATTTTTTTCGATTTTCGGTCGATTTACTCATAGGAAATCAACTCTATCACCACCATTGCACTCATCGACACTTTCTCTTCAAAAGCTCCAACATCCCGGCCTTCAATTTCTCGTCGATCATCATCCCAAATTATAGGATTTTGGATGAATAAGAAAAATGTAAACCCAGCCTCGTGAAGCTTCTGGGTCTTGGTTAAACCGATTAAATCGGTCTGGCCGGGCCGAGTTTTAAAACAATGCCCTCGAAACCATGCTCAATCAATCAAACAAAATAGAAAGTATAATACACATAATAAAATAAAAATACCACTTACTTTCCTCCCCATTTCAGATTTTGGTGTCGGTTTTCAAGTTTCCTGTTTGCCAATTTTTTAGGATTTGACAACGATTAGAGTTTGAACTAAGGATGGGCACTAAGCCTGGCCTTGTGGAGACCTGCCCTGATCTGGCCCGAACGGGGCGGATTTTCCCTGAATCGTTTGGGCTTTGGGCCGGGATCGGCCTAAGATTAGCCCGGAATTCAGGGACGGGCTGGGGCTAGGATAGGTCTTGCCCCGGCCCGCCCTATATATATCCTATATATATATATGTATTAATTTTAACATTTGAAAATCAATCATATATACCTATAATAATTTTAATATTTGAAAATCAATTATACATTATACAATGACAAATTATAATTATGTTAGTATTTTATGAAATTATATACAAATAGGTAATAAATAAAGCTAGATTAAATATAATAAATCATTATAAATATTTGTAATATATATATATATATATATATATATATATATATATAAATGTGTTAATGCTATGAAACAAAGTTTATACATTCGACATTAATATTATCTTATATATAGTATACATTTACATTTCAATTAATATTGTAATTTATATATGGTATATACTATATAGTTTAATGTATATAACATATTATGTGGTACATTATAAATTATACATAATATGCAATTATCCATAATCATATATTAATACATGATATATATGTTATATATGTATAATGTATCATTTGATATTTTGATTCATTTTAAAAATTCAATAAATCATTATAAATATTTTTTTGTCCTTCATTGAATCATTATTTCAATTCTATTACCTAATTGTCTTTGTTATATTGTGATAGTTATTTATTTAGAATTTACTATAATATATATGATAGTTATTTATTTAAAATTTATTATAATATATGTGTATAATGTATTATATGTAATACATTATATAACTTAATACTTATTACTTAATACAATAATACATAATATTATACTGTTAATATATAATATATTTATATATATGTATAATGTATTATAATTATCATTATCATTTTGATATTTGGATTCATTATAATCATTAATCAGAGGCGGATCCAACACTTGTTGAGGGTGGGCATTTTAACAAAAAAATACTAATATGTATAATTGTGGGGTGGGCCTTTTTGGTAGCTCATATTTTGAATCTTGATACTGTCATGTTTTGAATCTTTTGATTATAGATCTGTCACATGTTGTAATATATTATCAATTTAGTATGATGGTTTTTATATTTAATATGTATATTATAAATTTATTTTTTTTTTTTTGATGATATGGTCTTTATGTTTAATATGTATATTATATATTTAATTTTTTTTTTTTTTTTTGGTTAGTATATATAATTTGGAAAAAAGGATAATAAAACTAATAAAGATACAAAAAGACAGAAACCCCCAAACATTTCCCGAATTCCCTATTTGGGGAACAGACTTTTTTTGGGGATTCCCCAAACGAGCTTCGGGTCAGGATCAGGGAATCCCCTTGGGCTTTTGGGCTGGCCGTGCCCATCCTTAGTTTGAACTGGATTCTTTGTACAAGAATAAAGTTTTGGAATATTTGTATGAGGGGAAAATTTGGAAAATGGACTTCAATTGGATTTAACTGTATAACACTCAAATTTTTGGTCAATATCTAATAGCCCCTCCGAAGTTTTAGGTATATAACCCCAAATTTGGGATTTGTGTAATCTCGAAAGCTGAGGGAATTACTGCAAAATAAAAGGGGCAAAATGTAATTAAACCGAGATACGAAGAGGAGATACGCCGCATTAGAATAAGAACCTTTCAGCATTAGGGTTTACGAAGCCCATGTTTGCGGCTATAAGTAACACTTTCCTCTCTCTTCTCCTTCACTCTTTTACTTCGCATAACGTTCTCCCAAAGCCTTCAAGTTTTTGTTTGTAATTAGGGTTTAGTTTCTACATTGTTTGTAATTAGGGTTTAGTTTCTACATTGTTTGTAATTAGGGTTCAGTTTACACATTGTTTTTAGTTAGGGTTTAGTTTCAAAACGCGTCGAATACTGATTACCGGCGCTTATGTGCAGTGAGCGCCGCGTATGAGCCGACGCTACAGCTTCTCCCTTTCTGCAAAGCAATAACTAGTTATGAATTTCTTTTTCATATTCTTTTACGCAGATTTGGGTAAATTAATTTCGTGATTGTTTTGTTTATATAAATTAAGATAGATGGGTGTGATGATTATTTCCCCAAATGATCGAAGCTGATTAAACCGTGCGATTTTTCTCTCTTAATTGTTGAGAATCCAAGCCAGTCCTCTGATCCATCTTCGTCATTTTCTTAATTTAATTATTTGTTTGTTTTCTTGAATTGTTTTTGGGACGTATGGAAGTGATGATTATTTCCCCAGATGAACGACGTTGATTAAACTGAGCGATTTGTTTCTCTTTTGAGAGAATCCAAGCCAGGAATCTGATCCATTCTTTTTTATCATTAAATTTTTTATGGGTTTTTTTTTCAAGTTAATGCATGATCCTATTAGGCACAAGGTGAGATGGATGTGATGATTATTTCCCCAGATGATCGAAGTTGATTAAACTGAGCGATTTTTCTCTATTTTGAGAATCCAAGCCAGAATTCTGATCCATCAATCAATCTTTGTGCTATTTCATTAACTAAAGTCTAGAATCCGTAATGTGGAAAACTAAGTTTCTCTTTTTAATTATGTGTCCAATCTTAGTTGAAACATAAGTTTCCAAAATTTTCACGACGGCTGGACCACTGGAGCTACCTCTGAGCAAGAATACTTTCAAGTTCAACTTGAATGTATATAAATCCTGGAAATCCCTGTTTTGTTCTGTAATTCATTAATCAAAGACTTGTGTTTCTTTAGACAATGGACGCGGTTTTGAGTGATTACTTTGAGATCCCCCGTAGTCTGTAAATCGCCCTTTCTCCCTCTGTGTGGTTCTTCAAGGGTGTTTTTATTCTGAGAAAAACTTNTATTTCATTAACTAAAGTCTAGAATCCGTAATGTGGAAAACTAAGTTTCTCTTTTTAATTATGTGTCCAATCTTAGTTGAAACATAAGTTTCCAAAATTTTCACGACGGCTGGACCACTGGAGCCACCCCTGAGCAAGAATACTTTCAAGTTCAACTTGAATGTATATAAATCCTGGAAAATCCCTGTTTTGTATTGTAATTCATTAATCAAAGACTTGTGTTTCTTTTGACAATGGACGCGGTTTTGAGTGATTACTTTGAGATCCCCCGTAGTCTGTAAATCGCCCTTTCTCCCTCTGTGTGGTTCTTCAAGGGTGTTTTTATTCTGAGAAAAACTTGAATGATGGGTTCGGTGTAGGATGTGGTTTTGTGCTCAATGATTTAAGGGTTGGCAACCCTGAAATTGGTTGCTGGAAAGGGGTTTAGCCAAAGAAAGCTACAATTAGTTCTGGATTTAGATCATACATTGCTTCAATTACAAGACATCCATGAGTATTCTTGATGATAACCAAAGGAAAAGAGATATTAATAGTAATGGTAAAATGTAAGTATTTTAGAGATGAAAAGTTTAATAATAGATCTTTCTCGGAGAAGTAGAGACATGAGGACGAAGCTTCTTGCAAACGTTCTCGGAATTGTAATACAAATCCACGGATTATTCTTTTAAGATCCAAAAAATCTTGGTTGCCAAGATGTTAGAGCATTTTGACTCTTCTGTGACACATTTGGTGTCACCAAACAACACGATTGAGGATTGTTGAATGGGCAAAACTAGGAGATATTTCGTCCATCCTCCGTGGATTTATACAATGCTGCTTATTATTTATGGCATGAAAGACCTTTCAGTTTTGGATGTTTTCCTTTTGATTGTTATGGAGAGATTTGGTTTTGGATATTGATTTCAAAAGTGATTCAAGTTGATAGGTTAAAGCACAAACTAGAAACAAAATACAATTTACAGAATAAGAGGGACCAAAAATTATGACCAAACCTCTTTGCAGGAGATTAACAGCAGGAAATGATGGCACTAAGAAATTAATATATGGCATTAGATGCAAGAAACAAAACAGTATCTGCAATATGCTTCGATCACAATCCCTTTCAACCATGGATTCACCCAAAATGTTCAAAAACTCACTGTAACTTTTAATCCAGAAATCCCTTCCATCTTTCAACTGGGTATGTTTACAAGAGTATCTATTGACGAGGGAACTTGATTATGGCCATAGGATGATTAGTCTGTCTAAAATCTTAACTAACTGATATCGGACAGAGTAAAATTAATTTTGATTCATAAAGGATGTTACCTCATGAGCTCTTTAGTTCTGACAGTTGAAACATTTTTACACAAGAGTGAATTGATTATCTCAGAACAATAAGAAATGCAATCAGCAAGAGTTGTCTTATATCTAAGTCTCCATTGAACTGCTAATTTCCACCTCTCTATCGACAATTTAGTCTTACCAGAAAATGATAATTCACCACCATTCTTTCCACTTTGCACACCATTGTCTTCTAAGAATGTGCAAGCCTCACCTCCAAAAGTTGACAAAACCCTTTTTAGCTCCATAGGGGTTTTGTAATCTTGGATTTTGTCGATGGTAGACAGCAGCAAGTTGTCTTCTTCACTTGAAGTTGGCAAATTCTTCAACTGACCAAGGCACTTCTTTGATATCCATTTCATGACAGATACCTCATTGTCTACGGAGAGTTGACATCCTGAATAAGCAAGGTGTCCAACTGATCTTCGCTGGTTCGCTGGTGTCAGCCATAGCCGCAAAGCAGATAATAGAGCAAATGACGGCTTCCCATTTTGATGTATATATTGTGATTCCTTGGGCCACGAACCAGAGGAATAAATGCCAGTGTCCAAGGGTATAAAAAACTTGTCATTTGGATTTTCATCTAAAAGAAACCCATAGTGTTCGAGAAGCTCTAAATTTGTATATGTTCCATAACTTAATAGAACCTGCAGATAACAAAGCACCGATTCAATCCCCATCTAGCCTCATCATGGACACATCAGAGAATACATTAATTATATATGCCAATGAGAGGTCTATTTGAATGTCAACATTGATCATCCAATAGTCATTCTCCATGCTAGAAAAGGCACCAGTTGATAAGGTTTATTAATTAATTTCTAGGATATTACAATGATACTAGAAATAAAGAATGTGCCTGTGCATTTTCTCAGTGCAGGTAAGGAGCTTTGATCAATATTATAACACTTAGAAGAAAGACGATGTAAAAGATCATTGCAATAGGATTATGAAGTGTAGTGTCGAATTACTGCTTAACCTAAAAACTTAAACTTAAGGTAAGGACCTAACACTAGTATTAAGCTCTCCAACAACCTCCCAAACATGTCTAATGAATCAAGGCAAAGCAAACCCATACAAACAAATGAAATTGCAAGTAAAAATATTAGCACATGACATGTGACTAGAGCAATCAACCAAAACAAATAATAAAGAAAGAACAGAAATACAAATGCAAATGCATAGAAGTGAACTTTACTCTAATACCACATTAACACTAGTAGAACTTAAACTTACAAATAAAGGCATAAAACTAGCATTAAGCTCTCTGATACAAGGTCAAGGGTTAGTCAAAAGAGAGAAACAGATAAAAATTTAAAGAAAAATAAAGGGCCTGGTGAGCCAAACAAAAAGAATCTTGCATTCTGCTGAAATTTTGTAACGCAAATGTGTTTGACTTGCTGAGAGAAACCAATGAGCATGGGGAATCATATTCAAAACTCTCATCCATGTGGGAAGTAAAATAAAAAATGACAGATTATTCTTCACTGAAAAGAGTAAATTACTTGAAAGATTATCATATTACTACTCTCGCTATAACAATGAAATTTTTCATCTAAACCTAAAACATAAAACCTGACACCAATCTAGAAATCATAAAGCAGTACAAGGAGATGAAAAAATCATTACAAAGTACTGAAAGTTGAAATTTTGAACTTGAAAGTACATTAAGAAAATTCACAAAAAGGGCAACATGTCAAAAACTGAATGAAGAATTAAACAACCATGAAAAACATGGTTTTATGATCAATTAATCATTTACCCAAAGATCTTCTATTAGAAGAACAAACATAATAAATTTAAATGATACGCTATACACACGAACTTGTCCAAACATAGTCTATAAGTGTCAGTAGCAAGTGAACCAAATTCTATAGGAAAACAGATAAAACATTCATAAAAAGTCTGCAGTAACTTTCAACAAGAATAATCATGAGATTCATGATAAATCATCACAAGAAACAATGAAACAGCACATTCTACTTCCAGCACTTCATATAAACTTATCATAATTTCATAGGAGCATCATTTATTTCAAACAAAGAATGAAAATCACATGCATGAAGTATAAACTCATTGATTCAATGCATGTAAACCTAGCCGGAATTAATTTCTAGAATACTACTTATCCAAAAAATAAATCAGACATCAAATTGTAATAAAAACGAATTTCAGAGGTCTTAGCCAAATCAAACATTGTGTGTTTTAGGAAATAATTCAATCATGGATCAGCTAGTCAATTGACTTCCTAATTCAGATTTCAAAAGGTTAGTGAAACTCACTTCACATTCAGATCCAATAAACCTACTTGATTCATCAGCTCTCCTCTAGTCAGTACAAATTAAAAATAAGTGGCATTACAAATTCTTAACATCTTTTACAGCATTATGAAGAAAGAAATTAAAAGTAATTATTTGTCATCGGGAAATATTAATATCAAGTTATTCATTTTGAAGGTATTCTGTTGATGTGATTTTGCACATCTAGGACCAATAGACTAGTGATTTGCTTCAGACATCTTCTTAATGCAGAGAGTGAATCAAGAAGTGAAAATGCAAACAATAAAATAATTCAATTGCGAGGTCAAAGTAATGCTATCATGCTCCCACACTAGAAATTTGTAGTACCTGTTCTCCCTTTTCATAGCTTTGCCTAGCATAAAAACAGTATGCATTAGCTTCTTCCTCAAACCATCCATCAGTTAACCTCTGCAATTGAGGATTGAATTTCTCAGAATCTAAGATACCTTCTCCATCCCCCTCTGTCAAGGAAGAAGCATTCATCGTACCTCCCACATTTTCTAAGCCATTTGGCTCTTCTCCAGGTGCAGCATAGTTAAATAAATCTCCCACAGGACATAAACACCCAGCTTCATCCCATGCTATATACATTGTCCGCGATGAAACCTGTAAACATGACAAAATTTTGAAATTATTAATTCAAGTAACTCTCAAAATAAAAGTAAGCCGTCTCAAAGTATAGTCTCTGGTATCCTGAGGCT